CGACCTCGCCGATCTCGTCTGGCTCTCAGGTACTCCATTGCCGCCACCATTCTGAGCTCAGCTACACTGCTTATTTGTTATTTCACCTGACGACGACTTCACCATCATTCAACAATTTGCTCAAAAAAAGGAGAAACAAACAAGAAGATTATCTTTTCACCTGTCAATCAATCAACTTAATTTACACAGACAGACAACTGACATGCCAAGGAACTAGACAGATTAGCAGTGATAGGTCTGACTAGTCCTCAGATTAGAATTAGAAGGCGCACTTGCAAGTTTATCTGTTTATATATTAAACGTGCTGATTCCAACCAACGGCACCGAGCCACCGACAGCGAGTGATGTTGCATTCCCTTTCGCTGGGTGAATAGTAGTGCTCTTATTGTACTAGATGATGACTGGTAGCATTGGCAAACTGTTTATGACACGCAGAGATGCTCCTACTCTAGTTACTTACTCTCTGCAGGACCAGTACTGATGATGTACAAGAGTAAACTGAACAAACACTAGGAGCCGTTAGTTCAATGCCATGGCCGGATTGGACGGACAACCCGAACATGCACACACCGGCCCTGCTACTGGTAGCAGTAGTACATTACTGAAATAATGGCATCCATTTGTCTGTCAGAACGTAACTAACTAACTAACTATCTATCCATAAAAGACTTCGTTCTGTGGGTCAAAATCTACATCAAAAGGTGAAAGTTCAGCACCTAACAGTATTTTAGTGACGATACATGCATGCACAAACCAATGTTAGGCAGCTTAGTTTTGTCTTTCTAGAGTGAATACGTTGCCAACAGAAAAGGAGGCTTTTTAAACTGGGCAGCTGCAATTATGTTCATCTTCAGTAGTGTCAAGCACAGCTGAGTAGAGTGTAGCTGACAGCTGCACATCGTCCTTGAGGAGAGAGACAGATGTTAGTACTAGTTAGCATCTAAAGGATGGTTTTGTCCTGCCTATGCATGTAGCTGGTAGCTGGAGTTTGGTAGCCGGGAAATGATTCAGTACGACAGAGAAGATAAATTTGCCTAAAAACCTAGTTATGAGGATAACTGAAAGAGATTGTAGGTGATCACCCACTACATTGCATCCCAGGCAGAGGCAGGCTTAACTTACATCATTCTTCAGAGCAGGTCATCTTGCTTGCTTAAAGTAAAAGAAGAGATTGATGGCATGTGGAGAAGGAGAACTTGGGCGTCCATTTTTCGTATGTGCATGTCTGCATGACATTAATCGGCAACCTCTTCTGATGTCGACATGCACGCTGCTGCCAACTACCTTCCACCGGTCTATTCCAATCTAGTATATCATAGATGATGAGCCTTTAGTATATACTCCTATATGCAAACACCAGACAGAGGATACTTCTGAAATGGTCCTTTTCCTAGAACAGATGCTTCTGATGAAGTAGGTTGATGTTGCCTTCAAATACGTGCCTCATATTTATAACCTGCCGACAAATATAAGGATATACAGTAATTGCAAAGCAATTCAGAGAACACTGATAATTTCCTGAATAGCTCCAAAAACTATACATACACTGAACAATTCAGACATTCCTAATCACTTTGTCGACGAGTTATATTAGCGCTGCTGCTGAATGCTGAATGCTGAATGCTGATGCTGATGATAAACCACAACCAATTCCACTTGCGTGTGCAGGGGCTCACACGATCGGCATCTCCCACTGCAACTCCTTCAGCAAGCGGCTGTACAACTTCACGGGGCGCGCCGTTCCTGGGGACGCGGACCCGTCGCTGGACCCACTGTACGCGGCGACGCTGCGGCGGAAGTGCAAGACGCTGACGGACAACACGACGATCGTGGAGATGGACCCGGGGAGCTTCCTCACCTTCGACCTGAGCTACTACCGGGGCGTGCTCAAGCGGCGGGGCCTGTTCCAGTCCGACGCCGCGCTCATCACCGACGCCACGTCCAAGGCCGACATCCTCAGCGTGGTGAACGCGCCGCCCGAGGTGTTCTTCCAGGTCTTCGCGCGCTCCATGGTCAGGTTGGGCGCCATCGACGTCAAGACCGGCTCCGAGGGCGAGATCAGGAAGCACTGCGCCTTCGTCAACAAGCACTAGCGCGGCGGCCCATCTGGGACGCCGGAATTCATGCGGGAAATGGCTCGATTGCTCATCGGAAAATCCTTGTCAGATACATGCTCTGCATTTGCAGGCGTTCTCGGTGGTGTGGTGAACGTTAAATTGTACATCAGTGCATGGATTTTGTTGTTTAATTTGTACGTTCAGTTGATTTTTTTCTTGTATTCTTTTGGTTCCTTTACTCTTGTTATTGTTTTGTTTTTGTGACCTTTGCAACTGTAATTTTATTTTAGTGAATGGTATACATGGAGATATGTGATAATAATAAGGTGAGATTCCAATCATGTCCTTGCACCACTGTCATTTCGATCATGTTGTATGTTATTTTCCCTTGAAGGAAAGAAATAAAAAATTTTACGAGTGAAATGAATGAAAGTAGCTAAAAGCCCAAAACCTTGTTCGTGGTGCATGTAGTAGAGAGCAGGGTTCATATTAGTCCCACTTGATTTCTATGGAAGTGTGCTCTTCTTTCCCAACGTGCCATTGTGTGCAACCAAGGGGTGAAAAAAAAGAGAGGTCAATGGTCCAAACATGTCAAATGTCTTCACATTGCGTAGGAATGGTAATAGGTACCCAAAAACCAATGGCTAAAAACCCTATTAGGTGCAGGTATGGGGCCTTTTTAACCCCATGAGTATGCTATTGGGGACATTTCTTCCCCCATCAGGTACATCGGTACGGGTACATTCCCTTCTATCCCATACCCGCTACCCAATAGGGGACCCGTTAGCAGATAATAGGTGGATCTAGAATGCAGGAGGGTACTATTTAGCACATATATACTGAAAATCCTAGCCCTCTTCTCTAATCCTCGTGTTGCGCTTCTTATCAAGTGGTGGGTGTGGGTTACCTGATGGGTACTCGTTATCCATCGAGTGACGAGTATGGTTTTTTTTACCCGGCATGGATAATGGGTGCGGGTGACGGGGGAGTTATACATTAACGGGTGTGGGTATGTGGGCTTTTCTTCCATCGAGTTCCCCTACCTGCTGCCATCCCTAACATTGCGGTAGAGGAGCCACTATAGCTACACAAATTTGAGTCAACTACGGTAGACCAATGTACGTGGCAGTACCTACTTATTATAACAACGATTGGCCTTATACAGAACTATGATGGTATGCAGTAGCTAATCTTATCGTTCATTATGAGGATAAATAGGTAGATCTAATGGGTATAATTGGTGGGGCAACTCTAATATCACCGAGATGCTTGGACCATATTGGGAACGAATGATTTCCCTGTGGGGGCCATGACTAACGAATGCCGCCACGACTAGGAGGTGCGACATAAGCATGTGAAGAAAGGGATGGACGGTGGCGAAAACCAAAGCATCTTGAACAACTAGGATCTTCTCCAACTCCGCGATCACAGAGAAGAGGGATAAGCAATGGTGGCCGGGAAGCAACAACAGAGCATTGTGGCTGCAGCGGAGCCGAACGTGGTGTGGCGGTTGTGAAGGGTGGTGCATGCCATCTTGTATTCCTGTAGTTGTTGTGTTGTGCCAAGGCCCGCTATTGGGTCGTAAGCTTGCCATGGACCTCCACCACCGTGGAAAGATTGGGGGAAGGTGTTCGACGAGCTCTTTCTCTCCTTCCACCATGGCCACGACCGCCATGTCGTCTCCTCCTACGACACTGCCAGCGTGGATGGATTGTTCTCATGCCATACGTTGGGCCCGAGTTTGGAGTTCCACAAGCACTCTTGCACGTGACATGAGATCAAATTCAGCTGAAGCAACACGTTGTTGTCTGCCTTAGGAGGTGAGACGGAGGGAGGATCAACCTACTCGGTGATGCCATTGCACAGCCGCCAATAACACCACGACGAGTAACCCATTCAAGAGTTGCACCTTCGGCATCATCTTCGTCTCTGCCTGGGGTGTCATCCACCTGACCACCATATGCTCTTCTAGCGTAGACTCATGCTCACCAATCGTACGCCCACTAGCAGCACACATCCTATGATGTTATTTGGGTAACCTAGTGGCCCATGGTGTAAGACAAGACACCAGAAAATAATGAACCAACTCTATAAAATCTCTACACATTTTTTTTTCAAATTAGGCGTTATTTCCTTGGGTTACCCAACTTAACTTTACATCCCTAATATATCGTCAATGGCACGCACCTAATTCCTGAAGAACCATTCATGCAGAAGAGGAGGTTCATCGCGGTTCCACGATAGTCTAAGCAAGCAGAGGAGAGGAGCCGTTCACTGTAAAGTGAAATAGCCACGAAACCTCTAAAACATGCTCTCATTTGGGGTGGGATGGAGCCAAAAAAGTAGTAGCTTCGTCGGCAAATTAAATTTCAAAACAAATTTTAAAATGAAAAAAGTTAGGCCGCTGAGCTGGCTGAGGCTGAAATTTCAAAACAAATAAAAATGGGACCTGACACTGGGACCCACGGCAACAAGAAGAAGCGACTGAGCCGGCACCAACCGACGACCGTGGGGGACGCACGCCCACGGCCACCCGCACGGCCGCACCCCCCACGTCCGAATCCGCGTGCGGCTGCGAGCTCTTGTCGTCCGAACTCGCCGGCACCGCCGCTCCCCGGGCCCGTCAACGGCCGGCCGCCGCCGACCTCCCCGCGCACTGCACCGTCCCTGCGGAAGCGCGAGCGGGGTCGCCTCCTCGACTCGCCCCCAGTCGGCCAGCTGCTAGCGAAGGCCCCGTCGCCACGCCGGCGCCGTGCCTCGTGTGCCTGGCCGCAGGGTAGTTGGTAGGCGCGTGCAACCACCCCCGTCGTTGTTGCGTGCCGCGCGCGGATGCCCCGGTGCGTGGCTCGCTGACGCGGTGGTGAGGCTGCCGAGGGGGGCGGGCGGGGAGATCTTGGATCCGGGTTGGTCGGCGACGTGGCGGTGTCCATAGAGATTGGATCCATGGGCTCGTCCTCCCAGCACGATTCCATCTCCGCATCAGGTAACTCGGCTCTCGTCGATAAACTTCCTAGTAAGCGGTTTCGTCATACTAGGATGTGGATTACGATTACTTGCCTATCAAATTTCCTGATAGAATGAGGTTGCGTGCTTCTCTCATCTTATCTTTCGTTATCACTACTACAATGATTGGCATATCAATGGGCGCCAATCTCGTGGGGGCTGTGCAGACATGGGTTGGTTTTCAGTTAGGAGCCGTTCCCTGGTTTGCAATGAGTGAATTGGGCACAACATTTGAAGAAAAGAAGCAATCTGTTACTGGTAATGGGACATAAGGTTGGTTTTTCAGTTAGGAGCCGTTCCATGGTTTGCAATGAGTGAATTGGGCACAACATTTGAAGAAAAGAAGCAATCTGTTGCTGGTAATGGGACATAAGCAGGAACATGCTGGTCGCGGACAAGTTATAGTTGATACCCTTAATCTTCCAAACTGAAAATATATGTTCTGCCTAAATTTTGTTCCGTATAGGCGTATACTATAGATGACAGATGTCTCAAGCTCTTAGTGAATTGTTTTTTCTACACCAGATGTTGAACTTATGGTTACTAACCTTAACAGGAAGTTTGGAGTCTGCTGATGGCAGCAGAAGCAGCATCAACAAGTGGACCAAGATTACGAGCACAAACTCGTGGAGATGGTGCCTAGGGTTGATTTACATCGTTGCTGTTGCCGGTATATGGATTGCCGCTAGCTACATCGTGCAGTCTGTCGTGGATGCTGGCGTCTCTCCGTTCTTGATCACCTACATATGCAATTCTCTGTTTGTTGTCTACATTCCCATAGTTGAGGCTGCCCGGTACTTTGAGGATTCTATTGGCGACTTTTGGACAAAGTTGAAATTCAAGGATGCTGAAAGCCTGCAGCAGGCTTCTGACCTGGAGAGTGTGAATCTTCTTCAAAGTGGGGGGCATGAGATCAGTGTTGCCTCGGATCAAGCACAAACAAGGCCGTCTGAAGACACTTCAGTTCCAGATACAAGCTTCCCTGCCCAGACGGAGCTAAGTGTTGTAGCTTGCAGCAAAGGGTTGGATGCAAAAGGGCGGTGGACGCGTGCTCGTGTGGCCAAAGTGAGCATGCTAATCAGCCCCTTTTGGTTCCTTGCACAGCTTACATTCAATCTGTCTCTAAGATACACCACTGTTACGGTAAGTGTTACTAAGAAGAGCCGAATGCTGCTTCCATATTTTATTGAGACTAACTTTCTTTTGTCATATCAGTATATCACTAGTTGGTCTAAAATATGCTTCTGTTTCTGTGAACTTGCAGTCCAACACGATCTTGAGTAGCACGTCTAGCCTCTTCACTTTCTTGGTTGCATTAGTTTTCCTTGGAGAGACATTCACATGGTTGAAGCTAATTAGTGTGCTTCTCTGCATGGGAGGTACAATAATTGTCAGCCTGGCTGATTCAAGTAGTTCAGTTAATGCCATTGCTACAAATCCTCTCCTTGGAGATTTCCTGTCCATTGTTTCTGCTGGTTTATATGCTGTGTATATCACCTTGATTCGAAAAAAGCTGCCTGATGAGAAAGAAGGTCAAGGACAAGTGAGCATGGCTCAGTTTCTGGGATTCCTGGGACTGTTTAATATGTTGTTTTTCCTTCCTGTTGCATTGGTGTTGAATTTCGCCAAGCTTGAGCCATTCCACAAGCTCACATGGGAACAAGTTGGTCTTGTTGTCGGAAAAGGTAGGTTTGCTCTCTATTCATGAAAGTTCCCTACTGTCTAATTCATAACGCAAACAATAATACTGCAATGCCGTATCTCAATGATATGTAGGAATACCTTGTAGAAATATTGAGGACCCATTAATAAAATTACACGGTGAGAAATGAACTGCCGCTAATTTATGATTTCGACATTCTTTGCAGGTTTGATAGACAACGTTTTGAGTGACTACTTGTGGGCAAAAGCGATCCTTCTCACAACAACTACGGTCGCCACAGCTGGCCTCACAATCCAAGTTCCAATTGCTGCCATTGTGGACACACTCACCGGTCATGCTCCTCATCTACTGGACTATATTGGAGCTGCTGCCGTCCTAGTCGGTTTTGCTGGGATCAACATACCAGTTGGAGAGTCTCCACAGGTTGTCCAGCAAGAGCAGGAAACTCCAATTGTTAGCATGGTTGATGACCCGATTCATTTGCCCAGCAGTGCCAATGGCACTGATGTTGTCTCATAGTTGCCTGGGTCCATGTGATTTATCAACACTGTATAGAGGGGGGGGGGTTGGCCAGATGAGTGGTTTCTTTGTTTTTCCTTAAGCCGTGCCATCAGGACAAGAGATGAACATGGACTTAAGTTAGAGTAGCCTACTTAGTTTGTTCAGAATTTTGAGTAACAAGTGTTTTGGGATCTGTATTTTTATTTTATCTTGTAATTATTTACATCTGTACAACCAGTTTCATACGGAAGAGTAAATTCTGTTTGTGATTCATGGAAGGTGTTCGTTTCTAGAAGGGTATAAGTAGCTGAAAATTGTAATATGGATATGGTGAAACGCAGGCAATGGTAACTGAGCCTATATGTAAAGAGGTGTTTTAAGCCCTATGCTCCTTTCAAAAAGTTGAAAATTCCAACCATCAGAACAAGTTGTTTTACTAACACCACAACATTAGCTTTAAGACACTTTTTTGTCACTCTATCCTAAAGGGTCTTCTGTCTTCTCGATTGGAGTAATATTACAGGATCGAGTCCTCTTCAATCCTGAAGGACTGCAGCTAGTTATGCTTCAGGTGAAAAACATGAAAAACCTGTCATAGATTATCAAACCAGGCACAGCTAAATGTGTTTCTCCTTACAAAAAGAAGCCTACAGTTTTGGACAGCTTGCTTGACAAAAGTGGCTGTGGTTGCAAACTGTAAAGCAGATATGATGATCTTTGCAGAATGCAGACCAAATTGATCCTGATTTCCATTAGTTTTTTTTTTCGAACCAGAGTTTTTATTAAAGATTAAATTTTAATGTCAATACAAAGGAGGGCAACAACGTCCCTAGAAACAGAATAAAAAACACTCGACCCTCACGGCGTCTAATAGCTATCTGACATAAGTACATAACTCGTGCGCCAATTCATTCTGATCACACCAAATCTTCAAGACTTGCTCTAGGCGATTAAGAGAGGTCACTTTCTTGAAGAACTTATTGGATCAGTGGTTGTATCAATGATCTCTCTTGACATCGCGCCTTGAGCTTTCCAGCCACTGCAGCACAATCAGCCTCCAGGATAAATGAGCAATGAGCCCAGAGAGCCGCAAGACTGATACCTTCGAGACAGGTTGCAGCCTCAGTTCCTTCAGCATCCCAGCATTAAGAAAAGCAATCACCAGGAAGTAAGTTTTGGCTGGCCCTCCCAGTCCCAGATAATCATGCCCACTGCTGCTGAGCCAGTGTCAGACTATCAAGGTTAAAAGCCCCATCAACATTAATTTTTAGAGTACCCTGACATGGCGGCATCCAGCTCTTGCACAAGACTTCCTTGGTATTAACTGAGGACTTAACACTCCATGGTAGAAACTTCCCTTTACTGCTGTAATCAACCTGCTGCCTCTGTTGTCGGACAAGTGACAGAGAGTCCTATATACTGGGCTAGGAAAACAACTGAACCATGCATGGATATCTTGCCATTAGCTTTTAAAACATCACTCCAAACAAACCGATCCTCCAAATGATCATTAAGAAATTTGCTTTTACCTCCTCTGTACAGTTAGACAAGAGAACGAGTAGTCAGTCTGGCCCTGTCCATTGATGTCATCTTCTGCAGGTAAGGTCAAGTACTTGTGCATTTCAAATCTGAGAGCAGCTGCATGGACAGGAATCACATGCATGGAAGCGGTCCTCCATGTCATAATCACACGACTCACAATTAGCCTGTGTAGATAAGTGTCAAAAGCATTTGATAGCTCGAGGTAGCAATCCGTTGTTTATGACTTTCCATGCAAAGATTCTGATTTTTGCCTATCTTGAGCTCCCATAGCTCCTCCCAAATCCGTCTCCCTTCCTCAGATGTTGAGTTTCCACCAGTTTTACCACAACATGGTGCAAGTGGCCAAGCACATGGCAACTCTATATGCACTCCTGATTGTAAACAGTACAGTTTTTCTTTTTCATAATGCCACACAAAGCAGTCCTGTCGTCTTTTTCACCAGGAAGCTCGATCTTCAAATTTTCGGCAACGTCATATGGATAGAAAAACCTCCTCACTGCAGTTTCATCCCAAGAGTTAGATTGAGAATCAATTAACTGATGCACCCACCGAAGACGGCAAACACGGGTACTACCTATTGGTCTCAGGTTGTGTCCCCGAGGAATCCAGTCATCCCTCCATATCCTTGTATTTCTCCCATCACCAATCCTGTACACCACACCAAGTTTTAAAAGCTCCAATCCATATTCAACTCCTCTACATGTTTGGGATCCATCAGCTGCTGGAGCAGTATCAAGTAAGTTACCCTGAGGGAAATATTTAGCTTCCAAAAGACACACACAGAGGCTATCTAGGAAGGCCCCAGCCTCCATGCCTGTCTAGCATGTAAAGCCTGATTGAGAACTCTTAAATCCTTGAAACCCATACCTCCAGAATCCACTGAATCTTTTCTTACCATTTTCAGATCCTCACCAGAAGGCCTGTATGTGCTTCATCAGATCATCGCATAAAGTCAGTGGAAGTTTGAACACACTCATCACATATGTAGGGAGGACTTGTGCAACAGATTTGGAACAAGACCTGCTCAAATTCATCCGTACAATTGTGAAATGACTTTAAACATTATTTCAGATACCAGAATCACCGCCAAAGCTATATCAGTCATATGGACTGCATTTCCTGATGTCCTCAGAGGCTACAGGTTGTGAGGCTGCCTCCTTAGCATTACACATGTATAGTTTGCTTCTGTTTACATCAATCCAGCTTGTTCCGGCTTCTTTGTTTACCTTCCTTGATTTCATCAGCCTCCTTACCTCTACAGCGTCTTCCCATCGCCCAATTGTCCTATACACATTTTCAAGAAGAACATAGCTCAGGTGGTATTGAGGTTCTAATTCCATCATCTTCTTTGCAACCCTTACTGCTACATCTGGGTTAGTATGTGTGGCGCAGGCACCAAGGATTGCTGCCCACAGTGATGAATCATCTCTAAATGGTGACTTGTTTACAAGATCTTCAGCCTCTTCTAGAAGCTCTACTCTACTGAGGAGGTCAGCAGTGCAATTGTAGTGTTCAATACCAGGGGGGATACCATAGTCCTTGCTCATTGAGTTGAAGTAGTTCCTTCCCTCCTCAACCATCCCAGTATGACTACAAGCAAAAAGAACACCAATGAAACTGATGTAGTCTGGCTTGACCCCTTCTCTAACCATCTCATTGAACAGGCTGATGGCTCGCTCACCATGGCCATTCTGAGCACAACCACAAATCATGGCATTCCAAGTAATCATGTTGCGGACACTGCTCCTTTTAAAAACTCTGTAGGCGTATTCTACCACACCACATTTCGCGTACAGGTCCACGAGTGCGGATTCAACAATGACGTCTCCGCAGCCTCTCATCCTTATAAAACGGCAGTGGATTTCTTTTCCTAGCTTCACTGCAGACAGACCAGCACAAGACCGCACAAGAGTTCCAAAGCTATACCAGTCATTGTCCTCCACATACATCTGTCGAAACAATGAGAGAACCATCTCATGCTTCCCGCTTTGACAATACCCCCCAAGCAGGGCACACCATGAAACAGCATTCCGGACCTTCATCCTGTCGAACACCTTGTGTGCATCCACCATCATCCCACACTTGGCATACATGTCAAGTGTGCTGCTCTCCACGATCACGTTCCCACACAGGCCACGTGTCACAACCTGCGCGTGCGCCTCCCTACCCTGCCTCGCCCTCTTCAAGTTCCCCAGCGCCGTCATCATGGAGCCAAATGTGCAGCCGTCCGGCCAAACCCCATCTGTTGCGAGCATAGCCCGGAACCACCGCAGGGCCTCATTGAACCAGTCGTTCCGCACGAATGCTGATATCAACGACGTGTAGCATATCCCGTCCGGGGCGCGCATTTCCTCGAACGCCCTCCGCGCGTCGCCTGGTGCGCTCGAGTGGCCGTACATGTCCACGAGCGCGCTGAGCACGACGCCATCGTCGCCGTACCCTCGCACGACGGTGGTCCCGTGCACGCAGGCTCCCGCGCGGAGGTCGCGCAGCACGGCGCACGCCTTGGCGGAGGCGGAAAGCGCGTGCGCGCTGGGGGCGACGTCGTCGTCGGCCCCGTAGCCGCCGGCGGCCATGGTCCTGAGCTGGAGGAGCGCGCGGCGCGGGAGGCCCGCACGGAGGAAGGCGGCGAGGACGGAGGAGTGCGCGACGACGTCGCGGCGGGGCAGGTCGTCGAACGCCCTGAGCGCGTGGGGCAGGTGGTCCGGGAGACGGACGTAGAACGCGAGCAGCGCGTTAGCGAGGTAGCGGTCCGCGAGGAGGCCCGCCCGCGCCGCGCGGGCGTGGAGGCCGTAGCCGAGGCGCGGGGGCAGCGGGCGGTGCAAGAGGACCGCGGCGAGCGGGAGCGGCGAGGAGGAAGCAGAGGCGGCGGCGAGGCGCGCGGCGGCGGGAAGGTCGCGGGACTCCAGGAGGCGGAGGACAGCGGCCACGTCGTGCGGCGTGACTGGGGACGGCGGCATCTTGTTTCCGGGTCATGAGTTGACGGCAGCACGGCGCGCCGGCGGCGGTCGGAGCGGCGACGAGTCACCTCGGGGCTCGGGCTCGGCCAGACTACTTTTTTTTTATTATATCTTTTTTGAGGGAATGATGCCCTTATTGTGGATCAATCTACCTGGCGAAGCCCAAGCAATGCAAATAGGCCCACAAAAGCCCAATCAGTGTAAACAGGCCCATGAAATCTAGGTTTTCTTCTTTTGTACAACCAGAGGCTATAAATAATCACATCACCCTGCCTCTTTCCTAGGGTTATGGCTTCCACCACCCGCTGCCGCCGCCGCCGCCGCCTACGACGACGACGCTGATGCTTCGACAATGCATCCTTCGCATCTCTTGCTCTACGTCCTGTCGGTGCCCTGCATCTACTGTACTGTTGATTTGGTCTGTTGTTCTGTTTCTTTTTCTCTCTCTATGTTTGCACTGGTTGAGGTTGTGATAGGAGCGGTGATGAGCAATCTTTTGTGGACTAGAGTTTCTGA